CTCTCTCTCTCTCTCTCTCTCTCTCTCTCTCTCTCTCTCTCTCTCTCTCTCTCTCTCTCTCTCTCTCTCTCTCTCTCTCTCTTACACACTCTCTCCCTCTCACATTCTTCTTTCTCTCTCTCTCTCTCTCTCTTGCTGTGAGAGCGTGAGTCATTCCTCACACTGCCACAGTGATTCGCGCTGTTTCTTCTTTTTTTTTTTCCAAATCAATCAATCAATCAATCAGTCAATCAGTCAACAATCAATTAATCTATCAATCAATCAATCATCTTTATTTTCTATTCTTATTTCTCTTGCTCGTTTTAACGTTTTTTTTTTTTTTGTAATCTATGTGAAGCTGCGAATGCGGCATAGCATCATGGTGCTGTCCCATACGGCCATTTGGCCGTTCGGCCGTCCATACGGCTGTCTGAACTGCCCAAGCCAAAAACCTCCGGCGTACGGAGGTTTACACAGCAACGCAGCCCTCAGGGCTGCAAACTTTCCCCACCTTCCCCTAAGAATAGTATCTGTTCTCTGCCCTTTGGCTAAGATCAAGTGTAGTATTTGTTCTGGTCAGTTTAACATCTGATCTGTGGTTCATCGGGCCACATTAACAAAAAAAAAAGAAAAGAAAAAGAAAAAGGAGCAAAGAAGGAAGGGAGTGGAGTCAGTTGGTGATTGAAATTTGAAAACGGCAGCTCGCATTGGGAGAACCTTGGTTCTCAGTGAACCTTTGAGGTTTAGGGTTTAGGGTTTAGGGTTTAGGGAGTTTGAGAGGTTGGGGGAATCATGTCTCTGTGGAAACGCTGGAAGGGCCAGACCGTCAGTCAGGAGATGCTTAATATGTCTGATGACTCTGGGAGAGAGAGTAGGTTATATGGTTGGGGGGTTTGATAAGGTCCCCCTGCCTTGTTGGAGGACGACTGGGTAAGAATGGTCACGAGCGGAGAGAGCGGAGAGAGCGAGATCGCATGTGTGGGCCCACCGACGTACACGGTGCAAGCAAAGCGAGGAGGGAACACGACCCGGACAGCATCCTGCCTTCGTCAGTCTATGAGTCTGTGAGTCTGTTACACGGCTGTTGTTGTTTGCACCCAAGCCTGAGGAGGGAGGCACCCAAGCCTGAGGAGGAAGGCACCCAACCCGGAGGAGGGAGGAGAAATCTCGAAGAGATCGAAGAGAGAGGGGGCAGAACGGTACTTGGCAAATTGCAAGCATGGGTTATCCCACCCTCCTCCAACTTCCTCTTCCTCGCCACCGGGGCGGCGGGGGCGGCGTTTGTCACATCATCGCAGTTCGTGATGATGGTGGTGCTATGGTCTCTATAGTCCCTCTTTGGATTCTATTCTTAACATTTCTGTCGGCTCTGCTCCTGGGCTCCTTGCCGCAGTGTAGGGCCATGAGCTTCTACGATCTCGAGGCTGTTAATATTGACGGATACCGTGTAAAGCTGAGCGCCTACAAGGGCAAAGTCACGTTAGTGGTCAATGTGGCCAGCAAGTGCGGGCTGACAGATAGAACGTACAAGGAACTGGTCAGTGTGAGAGAGAGCTATGCAAGGAGAGGATTCGAGGTGCTGGCGTTTCCCTGCAACCAATTCCACGACCAAGAACCTGATTCCAACGCCGATATCAAGGGCTTCGCTCGCAGTTATAATGTCACTTTCCCGCTGTTTGCCAAAACGACGGTAAAGCGGCCCATGTGCACACACGACCCTTCTGCGAACTCTCTTCTCTGCGGGCCAACGTCAGAAGAGTGTTGTGCCTTCAACAACCAGATTTACGAGTACCTCATGAGCATTTCCAATAAGCCCGTCGAGTGGAACTTCGCCAAATTCTTGATTGGCAGAGATGGCGGGCTTATCAAAAGGTATCAACCGGTGGAGGGTCCTCGTACGTTCACGCGGGAGATCGAAAGAGCACTTGCTTCTGCAGACACCGGAGATGGAGATGGAGACGGAGACGGAGATGGAGACGGAGACGGGGACGGGGACGAGGACGACATGTCGCACGGATCTAGCGATGGTGGCTCCAATCCGACGACGGAATCGTTTTCAGATGAAATGTGAGGAGGATCTCGTTGACGGCGGCGGCAGCATATGCAATGTCAGGAGCTCTATGACGGCGGCAGCATCTTGTGCGTTTTTGTCTTTTGTTTCTACCCTTCTTGTTGCGTTTGATTATAGGAAACCGAAACGAGGACGACCCTGGATTAGTTGATCGCACAGCGCACCCATCCTTGATCATGACTGGATTGGAATTAATTAAAAGATCCCTCGGACATGTTCATGAGACAAGGGTGCGGTTAGTGTTTTTGCTGCGGCGATTCTTTGCGCACCCCTGGCTACAGTCTTCCCCCCCCGATAATACAACGTACGTACGGTCATTATCGCTGAATTTGGGGTATATTTCAGTCTAAATTCAGCTGTAATGACCGTACGTTGTATTCGGTGGAAGACTGTAGGGTTCAAGTGCGGCCCCMTTTTCCTATAACTAACTTAAAGGGGTCCGCACACCTGCGCCGCGGCGCTGCTATAACTTCAAGGGTAGCATGACTGCCCCATGACATTGTGTATTATAGCAGCAAAACAGACCAGGTGTGTGGTAATCAGTACTAGCTACCGGTAGTAGCCTCCTTGGCTGTATGTGCGGTAGCAGCGCCGGCAGCATCACCCATAATGCGTTCATTACTGCAATGCTGATGCGAAGGCGGAGGTGGAGGCCGAAGGGGACTGCTACGTCCTGTGCTACGTCCTGCGCCCTAAGTGCGGGGGTAGTCGCCGCTAGAGCACTCGGGGTCCAGCTCCATAGCATAGTACGTGGTGATTGACAGCGATTAAGATTAAGAGTTGGGGACAGAAGGGTCATGGATCATGACGATGATAATCACATCTGTTTGAAATGCAGCTGACAGTGTGGTAGCAGCCCCGTCACCATCACCCATAATAATAATGCGTTTGYAACTGCAATGATGATGCGGATGCGAAGGCGGAGGCCGAAGGGGACTGCTACCTCCTGCGCCCTAATTGCGGGGAGTCCAGTTCCATAGCTTAGCTTTAGCTTAGCTTAGCTTTAACTTCAGCTTAGCTTTAGCTTTAGCTTAGCTTTAGCTTAGCTTAGCTTAGGTCATGATAGACGGCGATTAATACAGCAATATTCGGGCAGAAGGGTCATCATGGATCATGACGATGATGTTTGTATCTGTTCATTCAAACACTGAATCAAGATTTGACATATTCTTGCTGTCTGGCTATGATGCAGACTCTTCAAGACTTTAGAGACTTGAGACTCCGCAGTCGAGCTGAGATTCATCTGGGACTGGGAGGCAATTGGGCGCACACGTCCATGTGTTGTGTTACATGGATGGACTTAGGACCTCGCCACACCGCTGTGGAAACGAAAAGAGAACGAATGCATCTGCCGCAGAAAGTGCGAAGATGCATGTTGCTTTGCTATGCGTAGTAACGGATGCATCTTGCCCTTCTCTGCTGGAAGATGCATTAACGGATGATGCATCTTCCCCTTCTTTGCTGGAAGATGATTCGTTCGTTTTTCGTTTCGACAGTGGTGTAGCGAGGCCGTTACCCAATTTTCGGTGGAAGGTTGGATGAGTCAGGATGACTATGGGACAGGAGGACAAAGTCACAAAACTGATATGATGATACTCTGAAAGAGCGGGAGTGATTTTTTTGGCGGGAGTGATTTTTTGGCGGGAGTGATTTTTTGGACCCGGTGAAAAAAAAAAGAGCCGACAAGGAAAACAATGGGCTGTTGAGCAGATGAGTGATGGACTTTTGTTTTTTGTTAGTGTTAAAATCCAAGTAGGACGACTGTACTTGAACAGGATCTGTTCTGCAGGTCGTACACTCTTCTGTAGCTACGAATACAGATGACTAGTCAATCCCGGATGATGAGTGAAGACTCCCACTGCTGAGCGCGACTGCCAGGTGGGTGGGTGCTCTGGCATCTGCCTGCCATCGATGAACGCACCCTGAGGCCATAGGCAAAGGGGTTTAAAAAAAAAAAAAAAAAAAAAAAAAAAAATCCAAGAAGGGATGATTTTTTGGATCCGGTGAAAATAAAATCTCCCTAGGGAGCATCAAGTCTGAAACCACCTTTCAGGGCCAGGCCCCTCTGAGCTATCAAGATGGAGCTGGAACGGGTCTGGGCCAGATTCGCGCTGTGTGTCTACCACTGTATTGCTGTCGCGTCTTAATTAGTAATAAAGAAACTTCTTCTAATTGACAATATATATGACGATATATATCATTTACAGTGTAATCAGTGAGGGGATTCTGCAGACTGTTGAGGGTTCAGCCTCCTGATGAGTCGGTGAAACTCCGACGAAACAGTTTGTCA